TTTTTTTTTGTGTTCAATGTCATCTCTCTGCTGTTCAATGCACTATGCCATAGCACTACGGATAAGGCAAAGCATTCCAGAATGAAGTCAACAAGAAAACACACAAGTTTGCCCTCCAATTATCTCTTTCTCCCCCTACAAGCTATCCATGCTGGGAATTTATCATGCAAAGAATTGCAATGATTCTATGTTGGAAATAACATTAGAGAAACAATATTCTACCATTTTTTTGGCCAAGTACATTACTATTTCAACAGAGTAAAACACTAGGCCACCCACAACTACAGTAACTTAATTTACATACTATAAACCTAAAGATTCAGGTTTCATTAATTAGCTGTACGTTGCAAACAACACTTGTCTGTGGTGTGTAACTGCATGACAATCTAATTATTCTCAGTGATTTCAGCTATTATAACAATGGAAAAAAAAACACAATCTAAAACATCCAAATGAGTAGGCAAAACCTCAATATTTTCAGAGTAATGTATATACCCTTATTATATATGCTGATTTGAAGTCAAGTAACTTTTTTGAAATTAAAGATTGTTTTCAGTGTTACTAATATTGTGGATACAAACAATCATTTACAAGCTTTTAAAAAAATCTTCATTTTGGATGATTTTCTTGGATTTGATTAGTTCCCGTTGCATAATTCTCTTGAAACTTAATTCTAATTGGGTACTCTAAGCAAATACAATTAGGGTGCTTGTCAATGACCACTCTGTCAACAGAATTTGTTTTCTATTTTTAGTATCAAAACAAAAGCTTTCAATTAGCACCGACCTCTGCAATAGCAAGTGGTGCCACATGCTGATTATAAGCATCTGTCTAACATAGGAAAATCATCAAGCTTGGCTGAAAAACAGGCTGCTAGTTCACTTATGCACACCCCTGAGACACATCCATGTCCCAGTGCTGAAGTTATGCTTTCATCTGGTTATCTTCCAAGACAACCTGGGTGGTCACCCAAAGCACTTGACATCTTGATGCACTTCAGCAGTTTTACATATACACAAACTTTGTAGAAAAATAAATTTGTCATTCGTCACCACATACGTTGATCTGAGAAGCTTGGTTCCTGTGGCACCAGCTCCTGTGCTGCTCAAGACACTCCAATTAACTCTTTAGCTCAGTTCAACAGCATTTTTTAAAAATTTAAGTAGCAATTCTCAAAATTGGGAGGACGAGGTCACCAGGGTCAGGGATTAGTTAATTTTTTTTTGAGTGGGAAAAGCGAACAAAAAGTCCCCAATGCATTATTGTTTGTGCATAATATCCACCAAAATCTAATCTGTTATGACTGCCTAGCATGCAGGCTTGGAAAATCCCATCCCTCCCTACCCCCAACACCAGTTCAGTCTTCAGGGAATGTGATAAAGAGCAAGAACCAGCTGCATGCAGGAAGCTGTAGGAAAGAGATCGGCAGTTCGTGGATAAAATAATATTTTCATTTTCCAGGAAACTTTGGAATATCTGCAAAACCACAGAAGAAGGCATCAAGAGATCTCTCTTAGAAGCTTTTCTTTAAAGAAAGTCTTGTGCTGAAGTTTAAATACTGTACACAATATTAAAAAGGTAAGCCTCATTACAATAGGATTCACCTCACAGAATGAGATGCAGAGTGAAATGTCATACATCCCGTATCATGCTGCAGTAGTATTAAAAAAAACTTTCATCGTATTATCAATGATACCTTTAATTGCGTAAAGGAGTGGCAAAAGCTTTTCCCAAATGTTCCAATGCCAAGCAAGGTGGCAGCAACATCTGTCACCAGTTCTGAAATAATAATTTTTCAGTAAGCATTCACTTTGTTTAATTGTGCCCATGACCACCACTTTTCATTGAATAAACAGAGAAGCATGGCTCTGCTATTGATACCCCCGCCACCTACACCTCCCCCCCCCACCATGTTGATTCATAATGAATTAACAAGATATGAGGATTTGTGTGAATTCAGATTACCTGCTATGTGGCTTCTGCAGGCAAAGTAGAATTGTTCACAATAATCTCTGCACAATATGGGAAAAGTTAGCTCATTAGCTGATGTGCCTTCTTGGTCAGATACGTGAAATAAATTCTGTGCATGTGGTGAACATTCAGCACACTTTATTTCCTCCAGCAATCTTGCACATTCTGTGTTGTTTGTAACAGAAAATACCTGAAAATCAAACAGCAGAAAGATGTAAGCAAACTGACTTAAAAAGAAAACCACCACTGACTTGGACAGAATATCTGCTTTACTTAGGATAATTACTGTGTTCTTTAACAAATACAAGTTAGAATTTTTCCTTGATTTTAAACCTAATTAATAAATACTTTCTGAATTCCTGGGTGTATTTGCTGCTTCTTTTCTTCCATAAACTATGTTATGGGTAGAATAAAAGTTTGAAAAGATAAACTATGAAGCATCAACATGAAAAATTCCAAGTGTCACAGCAAATTAGAAAACCTTTACTCAGGCCACAACAATATGTATGTTTTCCATTATCTTACGATCCTACCTCAAAACCCCCCACTATAGGAATTCTCAGTGGGAGTTCTACTGATGCCCTTTTGGTCTGCAATGTTCTGAACTGTGATTATAAAACTTAAAAGAAATAATAATGGTTATAAAATACATCATTCAGCTCCATAAAACTATAAATTTCCTCAAGTTACTTTCAATGGAAAAATATTACAGCTAAATTAAATTACAAGGGAAGTGTTGGCAGATTACATGTTTTTGCTTATAACTATACTGAAATTGCTAAAACCACAACCTTTTTTTCTGGGATGCCTGATAATCTGAATTTTCCATCTTTGTAATGCAAGTTATCCTATTTTTCTATTTAGAATGTTGAACTGGCTACTAATTTACAGATAGCATTGTTAAATTAAACAGTGTAGTATGCATGTAAATAATTTAATGTGCATCCCACCTACCACTGAGCAGTTGAAGGCATTCTGTGAAAAGGGATTTCACTGCCACGTTCACATTTTTAGTTGGTTTGTAGTGACACAAGAAAATAAAGCCACTTTCCTTTCATAATTGTCTTCCCTAATCTGAAGCTGCACAATTTTAGTCCAAATCTGTCATATTTAAAGTTTCATTTGGAAGAAATTCCAGTGTTACAACTAGCATAGAGACAAAACTGTTACATTCTTAACAAAATCATCCAAAGTCAAATGCTGCTTCTTTAAAAACTTATTTCAGTCATGCTCTGAAATGTCTAAAGCTCGACTTACAAACCTTGTTTTTCTTTAAAAAGACATAATGAATTATATACCAGCACATTGAAATCAACCAAAATTATTCTGATTCTGCTTGTCAGCTGTCAATTAACAGCCTCTCTTCTAGCCAGCTCATACTCTAATTGCACTATTAAGAGGTGTTTTTTTTACAAGAGGCATATGTTGCTGAAGATCCTAATCACTGCAAACACTTACTATTTCTGGAATGTGTTTTGAGTCACCTATAAATGAAACAATAGATTAGGTAATAGGATTATATAAATTAGCTAAAATGAAATACAGTATTTTTTCTGTTTATTTCATGTTCTTTCCACACAGTGGGACTTTCACATTTTTCTCTGTGTGAGGTCTGCAGAGTACATACCCATGAAGAGATAGATAGAGCCATCATTATAACACACCCCTGATGCTCTCTCTCTTATTGGAAACAATGGGAGCGCACACAGGGCAATACAAGCATGCAATGATTAGCCCTTTTGCATCTGTTGCATGCATAGTAGAACTTGTTATTATTGTCTACAGTGAGAAAAAGTACAGCTAGATCATGTGAAGTAGTTCAAAGGATGCATTTCAAACTCTAGTCAAAACATGCATAAAACTAAAGTTTACTTCTTTGTACTAGTTGAACCAAGAATTTGAATGTGAAAAGAAGTAACACTTCATTGGTGCATACACTTCACTTGCCCTTCGGTCCATAAAACAATCTCAGTCCTGGAACTCCATACCATGCATTTACTTCTCATGTTCACCCTCACTGATTATATGTTCCTCATATGATAATAGCACCATGCTACGAGTGCTCTTCTGTTTAAAAAAAAAGTGAGTTTTGATAATGGTAGCTATTGATTTTTCTTAATTGGTTGACCTCTGGAGTTTTTCAAAATTTATGGATATGTTCATTAATCCCATGCTCTTAGTGCAAAGTTATGCTCAAAAAGCATGAATCAGAGAATAATCAGCACAACCATATCTCTAATTCAAATTACCTTCTAGCGCAGCAATCCACTTGGCTTATAGCACTGGTGAATCTTGTTTTATATAATATTCAGCCTACATCCTCACAGTTGCTACTAGAAGGTGTTCACCACCACTATTGGAAGTTGAGCATGTTATTAGCTCAATTATCTCTCCAATGACAGACCTCCTTCACACACTTGCAAATATTTTACTAACATAGATAGAAAAATGATGAAATTTTTCTTTCTTTTGCATTATTTCAACGATCATTCCAAGAAAACACAAGTTACTCCTGAGTCTGAATATTGTAATCCTGATGGAGAACAAAAATGCTGTAATTGTATTAGGTAGCAACTGGAAAGAGACCTGAAAACTGCATTCAGCTTGGAAAACCAGTGGTTACTAAACTGCAGATTGGGAAAAAAAAGTTTATTTTTAAATAAAATTCTCCAGGTTGAGCATAGGATATTATCTTCACTATTTATATATTCCTCTACATAAGGTCTTAACTGTGAAACAACAGGAATTTTACAAGTCAGTTGATACCTTCTACGAACAAAAACTAAGCATTCGCTTAGCATCTATAACACCATTCTGAAACCAACTTTGTGAAATATGCAAAGTCACCATTCTCTTTTCATGTGATGGCTCAGAATAAAAGTTGGAATAAAAAAAACTTTGCATGATTGGCAGGCAGTTCGTGGTCATCTGAATAGGAAACTGATGTACAAACATAAGGCTACTAGGCTACCTACTAGGTTGCAAAGAAAATTAGTCTTAAGCCATAAAGATTTTTCACTAGGACTCAAATTTTTACATTACTCAGATACTAAAGGAAAGGAAACATGATAAGGTTAAAAGACGCAGATGTATTAAACCACTTGTTTTATTGTACTGTGTCAATGCTCTTTTATCAAAAGGGATATATGCACAAACCATACCTTGCAGTGAATACTAATGGCCATTACAGAATAAACATCAGACAATTAATTTTCTAAAATGTACTTTAAAGGTTGGAATTTATAATAACACATCAGTTTTAAAATTTTACCTGGAATGTTACTGAAAGGTATGACTTTTCAAAGGACATACAACGTAAAGGCAATTAAAGTTTTTTTTAAGTTTTCCTTTCATGCAAGTCTTGGTTTAAAAGAAAAATATACAATACAGAAGTGTTCCCCCAACATAACACTTTCTGAACCCCTTGCAAAGGTGGACAAACATTATCTGTATCTTCAATAACTATTCTGTGCAGCTTTCTACCTACACGGAGGAAAATCAAATACAATACGCAAAGCGTGCTGACACTAAGTTGAGAAGAGTGAAACTGCAGAGATAAACTTACATAACCAAAGCTCAGCTTTTAAAAACCTCATGATCGTAGGAGGAAGGAGTCAAGGAGCTTATGGTCTTCGGAAGGAAAAGCAGAGCTGGACCATAGCAACTAAATATCTCTTGGCATACAATTTATGCTATAAGTGGAAGTTTAAGGGCCAATTAGAATCTGTACAGCTTTCTTGTGGTACAAAAGATGACAACTGCAAACTTGGAACTCACCAACTACCAAAAATGCAAATTAATAGGTTGCAGTACGCTGATATTAATGACAAATTATGCAAAGCATTGATTTGAATTCTGTTAGTAAGATAAAAAGTGAAATTCATTGCTCATATGTATTATGTTCCCCTTGTTTAATTATGCAACTGAACAGTTTCAGTTTGTTACTAAGTAAAAAAATAAATCCATACCACGTCAATTCTACAGCCACCCTGATCAACATATGTAATTATGGACCGCAGACTATTAACCTGATTTTGTTTAGCACAGATGTCCTGCATAACGGTTATGGAATTGTATAAAGCTTTAACACAGAAAATGTTTGAAAAATTTCTAAAGCTACTGGAAGCCAATAATTTTTAACACCAGAGGCTGTTTTATACCGTATACTTTTTAAAGGTGTTTAAAAGCACCGAGTTAGCTCAGAACAGGTGTGTGAAAACTCCAATCAAAAAGTATTACATTGTAGGTACATGGGTGGTCCAAATAACCAGAGAGTAAGGAATCATTATACTTACTGCCAGTGGATAAGTTTTGATAATATTGTAGTGGAAAGTGTGACTGGGGCTTGTATCTATTGTAAAGCTATTTCAACATGCTGTCAGAAGGAAAAAAACTGATTCCCACACTCAGTACATTGGGTCATGATGAGAAGGTAGGTTTCTGTTAGAATAATAGGCCAGGTATGAAGTTAATACTAAGCAAGTTGGTGGCAGTCGACAGTGAAGTGGGTTTTCTAACATTACAAAGGAATCTTGATTAAATGGCCAATGGACTGAAAATGGCAGATGGAGTTCAATCTGGATAAATGCAAGGTATTGCATTTTGGTACAACAAACAGAGGTAGGACTTACACAATTAATGGTAGGGTCTTGGGTAGTGCTGTAGAGAGAAGGACCTAAGGGTACAGATACATAATTCTTTGAAGTTTTCATCACATATAGACAGGGTGCTTAAAAAGACATTTAGCATGCTTGCCTTCATTGCTCAGTCCTTGGAGTATAGGAATTGGGAAGTCATGTTGAGGTTGTACAGGATATTGGTGAGGCCCCTTCTGGAGTACCGTGTCCAGTTCTGGATGCCCATTTATAGCAACGATATTATTAAGCTGGAGAGGGTTCAGAAGAGATTTGCCAGGATGTTGCCAGGTATCAAAGGTTTGATTTATAAAGAAAGGCTGGATAGGCTGGGACCTTTTCACTGGAGTGTAGGAGGTTGAGAAGTGACCTTACAGAAGTTTATAAAGTCATTAGGGATATAAATAGGGTTAATGGTAGGTATCTTTTCCCTAGAATGGGCGATTTCAAGACTGGAGGCATATATTTAAGGCGAGAGGAGAGAGATTTTAAAAAAGATATGAGGGGCAATTTTTTTTTTTAAAACAGAGGGTGGTTTGCTTGTGGAGTGAACTTCTTGAGGAAGTGGTGGATGTGGGCACAATTATAACATTTAAAAGACACTTGCATAAGTACATGAATAGGAAAGGTTTGGAGGGATATGGGCCAGGAGCAGGTAGGTGGGACTAGTTTAGTTTGGGATGATGTTCGGCATGGACTGGTTGGACCAAAGGATCTGTTTCTGTGCTGTATTTGTCATGTGGCTCTATAATGTAGCTGGAAATATTTTTAGGGAAACTGAAAAGTTTGAAGTGTTTAGCGAGAGCTTCCAATTATTAAGAATTAAGTAGCACAATGATTTCTCCCATTGAGATGTTAGTTTGAGAATAAGCACCAGTCGTGAATATGAAAGAGTCAAAGTGGATATAACAGACTAATTACATGCTTGTATTATATGCTCAGGTCATGCATAATCATAGCATAACAATTCAAATTGATTGCATTGAATGACAAAAAGTATATTCAGTGCATTTTCCTCATGCATATTTTTCTTCATGAAGCAATAGTAGCATGAAATTCCAGTTCAGGAGCTTCAAGTTTGCCTGTCAAATTTTATGCGTCAGTTCAGTAAGGTTTGCCATTACTCGGGAAGGCCATTAGATGGAGCACCACATGGAAATTGTTGAAGAGGAAATATTGAAATTCTCTGGCTCCTTTCAACCACCCCCTGCAGCATCACTACTCAACTTTGGAAACCGCAAAATTGTGTCAGTGTGGTCATATGGATGTCTGTTGCCCCAAGATTATCCCACCCACCTGGCTGTGAGATGGCTCACTGTAAAGAATATCTGGGGAGAAAAATACATTATTTTTTTAAAACCAAGAATTGGAATGATGATGGGAACCAAGTGACTTAATGTGGAAGCAAGCACAGCAATCTACCAATCTGATTGTGTTCTTCCCCCACTGAAAGTACATTTCTTTTGAACATTAATGCAAGTTCCAAATCTCTGATACATTCATCAATTGCTTCGTTTTTGCAGGAATGTATTCTAATGAGATTGCACAATGCAGCCTATTTAACACTGAGTACTCAAACTACTCGTTAACTATATTTAATAACGTGTTATTCTCGTACTCAACAACAAACCAGAAATCTGACAAAACCAATTCAACAAAAATCTGTTTAATTTCTTGAAACATCCTACTTGTTATGCACTTGCTTTTTCTGGCTGCTAAATAAATTATTGCAACATTTAAATTGAAAAGAAAATTGCATTCTCCAATAATGTCTCGTTTTCTCTTTTTGTTACTCAGTATAACAGATGAAGCCGTCAAGCTGCACGTGATTAAACATAACACATTGAAATGCTACCAAAAATTCAAACATTATCCTAACATGCTTCGGAATGATTAGTGTTGCTATTGACTAATGTAAAACATGTGTGCAGTCCTTCTTTCATCGTCAAATTACTCAAAGCAGAAGTAAGACTTAATAATTTGATCCTTTCATACAGGTCATTTTTACCGCTGGATGAGTTTGTTGGTCAGTTATATTTGTATAACAAAGGAATTGTTAGTACAATAGCACGAGCAGTTGATCTGTTGATCAGTATGAGGGGAGCACACTTGAAAATGATCCCTTGGACGAACTTGGCTCTCAAATTATCCCAAGTAGAAAGAACACGACGCTGTAACACAGCCAAACTAAATTTACGAATAAGTTCTTCCTTAACTAACCATGTGGTCAGAAAACAAGCTGTCCAAAACACTTGAGGCATTTGCGATTAAAAAAAATTGCGAAAATATATATATCAAGAGGCATCATGAGAATATCATGCATACTAAACACTTCCAAATTTGTTCGTTTTAAGTATGAATGATGGGAAAAGTTCAGCGCTAATATCAGCACTACTTACTCATTTACGTCTACAGACTGTTAACATAGTAATTCCGATGCAAAAAATTATTTTGTCCCTCTCAAATATGGCTAAATATAGTAGAAATAAGAAAAAAAATCTACAGCTGAAAAATTTACAGCAAGGCGTTCTCACTCATCTGGGAATAGAAATAGTGGAATAAATGCTTACTCAAAAGGCATGAACGTTTGGACAGGGCTTAGACTGAAGGAGAATGATGTTCTCCAGTTTCACCCATTAGTGAACCAACTAACAAACACAATGGTGTTGTTGTTATTCTTTTGCCATAAGCAACAGGACTCTGTGTGTGGGCAACAGTTTAGTGGGGAGGAGGATAAGTCGACCCCTTTTTGTCCTATTGATTTTTTCTATTTGCATGACTTGAGCAAATTAAATGATGCAATATGGCTTTTTGTTACAAAACAAAGTGAAAAATACCACCCAGACGCATATGTTGATTCGTAGAAGCTGTTTACATGAGAATAGAGTGAAATCTACCGTGAACCTAGCATAAAAATTCGATTCAGTCTGGGTATTTCTTATTATGTTGAGGCCAACAACGCTTTAACACGAGCGTCCTTCATCAGACCTTGACATCTACAGTGCTACAACTGTGGAGTATTTTCAAGTAAGAACATCACCTGAAGACATCACACGTGCATTCTCTAACCTGAGATTGTCAATGTGATTATGATTAGCGTCTCTACCTCAAACACTCCAGTAAAAGCTTTATTCCCAAAAACTAACCCTGTCAAGCGCAATCTTTACTAGAAGGTGATTGATAACCGAAGTCACTGGTCTGCCCTCAGTGTAATGAATACTTCGTTTAGAACGTGCATTCTATTCAAACCACGGCGTGAAAATTTTACCTCAGAGTCCAGGAACTGGGGGAAGTGTCTATTCCTGGGGCAGCAGGACAGTCGGCTGTAGAGTTTATGACAGATATACCCATTGGCGTCGAGTGCCAACAGTCTTCTATCCCTCTTCTTCAAACGGCGCGGTGCACTCCCATCCAGGCATCTCCTCACTGGAGATTTCTCACTCTCACGCAACTTGGCTTCGCTGTCAAGAAAGTTGGCGGCCACAGCCAGCACCAGGGCAAACGTTAACGACACTTTGGCATTCATCTTCATCTTTCAAATATTACGAGATATTATAAATCCTCTCTCTTCCCCTTTGCTTCACTCAAAACTACTCGTAACTTCTGAAAACAGAAATTCACTATCTTTTCTGTGAAAGAAGCGCCATAGAATAAACATACACTTTTTGTTCCTTTTGCAAACTGTTATCTGAATGCAGATGGCAGAGGCTGAGGTGCAACGGTTTGAAGAAACGGCAACAGCTGCTTGTTGCCGCCAGCTGTCGCGTGAAGGACTGGCGGGCAGACTCTCGCACGCAGCCCCGTGTTCTCGCTCGCTTCGGGTGTACGATGTTAGCAGGTAGCTCGAGCGTGTGGGTGGCGAGCTCACTCTCTCCCAACATGATATCACCGTCTCCCCTCCCCGCCCCCAGACCCACTCCATAACAATCGCGTGCACGCGCCCTCGACGTCAGCACCGAGACCCACGGGTGCGCGCGAAGGCAATGCGCTCCAGCTGCTGCCGGAGTAAATGCCCAAGAAGAGTCACACATTTAGCAACAAGTGTAACACGAAATTCTTTTATCCTCCCTGATTTGGTGAAAAAAATCTTTCTGTTTTTGACACCCTTGTTGTGAGGCAGCGATGACTATCTAATCATCCTCACTATCTCTCCTTCCTTTCTCATCTTTTGGCTGAGGCTTTCCGCAACTTTCCGTTCACAGAGAAGTTACGCCGCAATCCTGGATGGTTTTCCTCACTGCTCTGTGATGTTCTAAGTGCCATGTGCTTCCGTATTATTTCATAAGAGAGTAACTGTAGCAACTTATTCAATGAAACGACACCCGATGGATCTAGCAACTACTTGTTCCGACAGTAGGATATATGAAGTTTATCTATGCATTTTAATACAGATATGAGATGGAAAGAGGAGCCGTCAGATAAAATCTACAGCGCAGCAATGCAGTGCCCCAGCTGTTTAGGGTAGTGGACCCGATTGGAATCTCCAAGTCATTCCAGGGATCATCATCGCGTGTCCACGAATTAGGTAAATAAGTAAGTAAATTGAAATTAAATATGAAACACAAACCGTAATGACAAGTAGACTGGTACCATATCGGTGTGAAATTCACTCGCAGTTTGGTAGTTCTGAAATGTGACGATAAGAGGGAGCACAAGGTAAACATGTTGGTGCTTTCGGAAATGATTTTCCTGAAAACCTGCACCATAGTAACGGATGCCATCTTTCAGATGAGACAATAAACTGAGGCCCTGTCTGCCTTTTTTTATTTCAAAAATATATTTTATTCATAAAAAATCTTGCTATACACGTTGCTATACACTTTGTCACAAATGCAGATGTGTTCTGTACAGTTGTATATCAAATAAAACAAAAACATTGGACTTTGACTATATCCAAGCCTCTTATACATACAATACCAGTATTTACATATATTTGAGACACATGAGGTCTGATAACTGAATGGACCCCCCCCCACCCCCAGACTTTTGCCTTCAGCACCCAGACCTCAGTGGTCTTTCCCACTGCTCCATGGTGGCAGCTGCCCCAAGCTTTAGTGCATCCCTCAGCACATAGTCCTGGACCCTGGAATGTGTCAGTCTGCAACACTCCTTTGGTTCAACTCCTTGTTCTGGAAGACCAACAAGTTTCAGGCAGAACCTGCCTGCCCTCTCAAGTGGATGTATACCATGGTGTTATTTCGAAGATGAGTTGCAGAGTCAATTCTAGTGTCCTGGTCACATTGCAACAGCTTTTGAACTGAGGGTACAGGAAAGAAATCTATTAGTATAAAATATGAGATGCTCCACTTTGGCCCCATACTTTCATTGTGGATTTTTGCAGTAATGTATATGCTATTGACACCAAATTTTGGAAAGTCATTAACATCTCTATTGACCCAACTGAAACAGTATTTATGCTAATTGTCATAACTCAAACCACTTAAAATCAACAGTGATCATAATTTTCCTCACTTGATACCTGATTTCAAATCTTATCACTTAGGGAAGGTATGACATGAGTGATTTGGCACTAATGTGATTTCTCATGGAATGTATGAAAACAAGTAGTTCACAGAAATGACATGGTGCAGAAGGAGGCCATTCAGCCTGCACTGATCTGTTATCCAGAGCCAATTGTCTGCCTTTTCTCCATATCCTGCACATCATTTCTATTCAAATAATTATCCAATCCCCTCTTGAATGCCTCAAATGAACCTGCCTTCAACACACTTCCAGGCAGTGCATTCCATTGCCTAACTACTTACTGTGTGAAAGTTATTTTTCTCACATCACCCTTACTTAGTTTGCACATCAATTTAAAAAAAGAATTGTTTGTTCCTTCATTTGATTTTACTTTGAAAGGAAAAATACACATATCTGCACATTATCTCCTGCACCTTCAAGAATTCTTGAATTAGTATTTAAGTCTGTCAACATTATATAAAAATTACAATGAAAGTTAGATGAGTACAGAGACAAATTTCTGTGAAATTATTGTGAAAAGTTAACACATTCAGAACTGGCTACTATAAAGAAATGGCTCTTTTCAATTTTCATAACTGAGTTTTTGTAATTTCAAGAATTGTCACAGAAAAAAATACTTTGTGTACAATTTTGGCATTCATGACTACATTTCTGGTTCAGCATCATGCTGCCAGCAGTGTAATATTAGGACATTTGGTAAATATAGAGAAAGCTATGAGCAACAGGTTTGGCATGCTAGAAGATAAAAAATCTATGGTTTTAAATCATTGCTCTTGCCATTGCAGGAAAATCTGAGCTATAATTTACAAAATGTTTCTAGAATGGGGACAGGTGTAGGATTGTACAGACTAGTGGAAAGCATGATCATGTACAAAATTAGATAGATGCATTTTTTACTCTCATGTTATGGTCTGAGACCCACCTGCTCCCTCAGTCCAGCAATGTATCAACCACCCAATTTTCCTTCCTGGTCCTATTTTAACTGATATTGTTAACAGTTCTATATCCTTAGGTGTTGTCCTTCTCTCCTTTAAATCTCATCATAATAACTTTCCTTGAGTAAATAACTCTTGATCTTATCATGCTTGGAAACTGTTGCAATGCAAATCTCCCATTATTTTTCTTGAATGTGCTGTTACCTGCTAAAACTATACCCATTGATCTTCAAGTTCCGTGTTTGAGCCTTCAGCCAAGTCTCCCCTCATGCCACAGTACTGAAACAGCTCATATCAAAGTTAGAAATGACATCCTAAGTGACTGTGATAATGATAAAATTTATTTTTTTTATTTCTCACTTGTCAGCAATCTTTAACATGATTGACTACACCATCCTCCTCCAATGCCTTTCCATAATCAAACATTTGGTGGGACTGTTCTCATCTGATTCATTCTTGTCTGTTTAATTGTAGCCCAACTACCTTGCTCATGCAACAATATCTCCAGTATACCACAAGGATTTATCCTTAGCCTTCCTATTTATCATATTAATGACCCAATGACTTCATTGTAAACCAGTGTTAGTTTTTATATGGTTAAAGTGGGTACCTAATTTACCTCAACACTACCTCTTTCTGTTTGTCTGACATTCAATATTGAATTAACGTAATTTCCCCCATTAAATACTGGGAAACTAAAGTCAGAAGTCACATGACACGAGGTTATAGTTTAACAGGTTTATTTGAAATCACAAGGTTTCAGAATGCTGCTCCTTCGTCAGGTGAAGTCCAACACCAGCATCTCCACATCATCTGGAAAACTGAAGCCATTGGCTAAGTCTTCCCACTTTTTGACAACATTTTCTTGAAAGTGAATCATGGCAGCCGGTCTACCACAGCCCAGGTCAACTTTTCTCACACAGTCTTCCGCTCTCCATCGCATTAAATAGACAACTCGCCTCTTCAGCACCCATCTTGTGGAATCATGTGGTAGGAGAGGCAGAAGTACTCACTGTTGCTGAAACTTTGTGATGTCCATGATGCTAGTAACATATTTAAAACCCAGGTGTACACCACCTCAGATGCTGCAAGCCAGGAAGTGCCCCTCACACTATGGTGTTCCAGTATTATTCCTGAGGAGATGGGGTAGTGGAAAGGAGAGAAGTCTTTTTTTTCTGTTGACTGGCAAAGCAGGCCAATTCATTACACTCAACCAGCCTGGACTGGGTGGACCTGTGTTCTTGTAGTGTTCTGGATGAAACACAATGTGCAGCAGTGCAGGGACAAGGTTAATGATCTCTGCGTTCTGCAGTTTTAAGTGCCTCCCTCTTCACTCTGCTACCTCATGCTCACAGGGCTACCATGCATTCTAATTCTGCCATTGCGCATACTTTTCACCAAAACATATGGATTACAGTTCGCAGAATTGCATGCATCAGGTCCACTCAAAGTGAACCTGAATCCCCAAATAAGAACCTTATCAACTCTTCAGCTTATGCTTCACCAATAATTTCTCTTCCATCCACTGTCATCACATTCAGTCCCTCCCTTCGTCTTATTGCAGGAAACATTCTTCCAATCCCAGCCTGATGTCTCCACAGCACCCTGACTGATGAGATTATAGGAACTAGCAGCACGGTGGTTCAGTGATTAGCACTGCTGCCTCACAGTGCCAGGGACCCGAGTTCAATTCAACCCTCAGGCGACTGTCTGTGTGGATTTTGCACGTTGTCCCCGTGTCTGCGTGGGTTTCCTCCAGGTGCTCCGGTTTCCTCCCACGGTCCAAAGATGTGTAGGGTAGGTGGATTGGCCGTGTTAAATTGCCCGTAGTGTCTAGGGATGTTTAGGTCAGGTGGGTTAGACATGGGAAATGCAGGGGTAGGGGAATGGTTCTGGGTGGGATGCTGTTTGGAGGGGCGGTGTGGACTTGTTGGGCTGAATGGCCTGTTTCCACACTGTAGGGATTCTATGATCTTCTATGATCTATGAACTGCCGATGCTGGAGTCTGAGAATACAAGGTGTAGAGCTGGATGAATACAGCAGGCCAGGCAGCATCAGAGGAGCAGGAAAGCTAATGTTTCGGGTCTGGACCTTTCTTCAGAAATGGGGGAGGGGAAAGGGACTCTGCAATAAATGGAGAGAGGGGGAGGCGATGATGGAAAGTGGATAGAGGAGCAGATAGGTGGAGAGAAGACAGACAGGTCAAGGAGGCGGGGATGGAGCCAGTAAAGGTGAGTGTAGGTAGGGAGTTTGGATGGGGGTTGGTCGATTGGGAAGGAGGGGCGGCTAGGTGGGAGGGAAGATGGACAGGTCAAGAAGTCGGGGATGAGGCTAGTAGGTAGGAAGTGGGGGTGGGGGTTGGTCACTGAGGTGGGAGGAGTGGATAGGTGGGAGAACAGACGGACAGGTCAAGGAGGCGAGGGATGGAGCCAGTAAAGGTGAGTGTAGGTAGGAAGTT